AATCTATAGTGTAAATCACATAAATGTGTACAAATGTAGCAAAATACAAAATTATATCCAAGTTTTTACATTAAATCGTGTGTAAATTCCCCGGCGTTTTTTTTACAACAATTTACTAAATGAGTCACAATGACTCCTCCACAAATTCTCTCCATCCTTACAATGTCTCGTGTTTTTTATTTTACAACCATTTCAAAATGTGTGACAACGACTGAATCATAAAATCTCTCCAACCTTATGTGTCATGTTTTTGTTTTTACAACCGTTRGTCCTGAACRCTGGTGGATGAACCACAGATCAGGACCCGAACATTTTATAACTCCTCTGAGTCTGTTTGAGCCCATTTATATCGTTTTACACTAACTTGTTTTTGTAGCATGTTTGTTGGTGTTATCACTGATGGTTTTGACTGGATCAGAAGCAAACAACAACAACAACAACAACAACAACAACAACAGGTCTTGTGGACTGTGGGGGGACAGCAGACCTACCTGCACTCCATGGCTGAAAACAACTGGGTCTGTATCTGCTTTGTTTTCCTCTGCCTGTACCTGTTTCAGCTGCTGTAGCCAACAGGGATCTGGTTCTGGTTCTGGTCCGACTGTGGTTTCTGTGTTTTGGGCCTGACAGAGTGGATGGGCAACTTCTCCTCCTCCTCCTCCTCTTCCTCTGGAGATCATGAAGAAACCAGCTTGTAAAATGTGGTGCAGTTTGCCTCTGTTATGATTATGATCTTTTACATATTCCAAACAAACAAACAAACAAACAAAGAAACAAACAAACCTCTGAGTTTGAAGCCCACACCTGAGCTCACTCCTCTTCCTCGTTTCTTCAGCTCAGCTCAGAGCTAGCTTCCTCCACAGTCAAACGACGACTCATTTTAACACACAGACTTACAAACAACACTACTACAAACACTGCTCACACACACTCACACACTGTAACACACAAAAACTAACCTGCTACTAGCTTCCAAAATACTGAAATCAATCTGGCTCCCCCCGTCTCCAAACTGTTGGCCGACCAGCAGCTCTCTGTTTACAAGCCTGGTAGAGACAAACTGTTTTCATTGGTTGTTTCAGAAATGTGGTGTGTTTGAGGAAATGGGAAAAATAGGTTTCATGGTGCAGTCACGCACTTCCTGGTCACAAAATATTCTGTAAATGTGCATATTATGGTAAAAATTATTCACCATTAAATCTGGTTTTATTTGGAAGTAAATAAAAAATAAAACTATGTAAAAACATTACTTTTATAAAGTTTGAAGTCCGTGCTGTCCAATCAAGTTCAAATGAATACTCTGAAAGCTCCAACTTCTTTTTTTACAGAAGCTCTGTAAAAGCATCACAGCTTGCTCCAGAGCAGGCATCAAATAAATTCCTGTATCCACATCATTATCTGGGACATCACCAAAATTTAATGGTGTGTTCTTTGGGCCAGTACACACATGTGGTAAAAATGTCATGACAATCTGTCCACAGACAGTCAGACAGACAGACAGACAGTCAGTCAGAAAGTCAGTCAGACAGACAGTCAGTCAGACTGTCAGAAAGTCAGTCAGACAGTCAGTCAGACAGACAGACAGACAGACAGACAGACAGTCAGTCAGAAAGTCAGTCAGACAGACAGTCAGACAGAAAGACAGTCAGACAGACAGACAGACAGACAGACAGTCAGACAGTCAGTCAGTCAGACAGACAGTCAGGCAGACAGTCAGTCAGACAGACAGACAGACAGACAGACAGACAGACAGACAGACAGACAGACAGTCAGTCAGTCAGTCAGACAGACAGTCAGTCAGACAGAAAGACAGTCAGACAGACAGACAGACAGACAGACAGTCAGACAGTCAGTCAGTCAGACAGACAGTCAGGCAGACAGTCAGTCAGACAGACAGACAGACAGACAATCAGACAGACAGTCAGTCAGACAGGCAGTCAGACAGTCAGTCAGTCAGTCAGACAGACAGACAGACAGACAGAGTCAGACAGACAGTCAGACAGTCAGTCAGTCAGTCAGTCAGACAGACAGACAGACAGTCAGTCAGTCAGTCAGTCAGTCAGACAGACAGTCAGTCAGACAGAAAGACAGTCAGACAGACAGACAGACAGACAGACAGTCAGACAGTCAGTCAGTCAGACAGACAGTCAGGCAGACAGTCAGTCAGACAGACAGACAGTCAGACAGTCAGACAGTCAGTCAGTCAGTCAGTCAGTCAGACAGACAGACAGACAGACAGACAGACAGACAGACAGACAGACAGACAGACAGACAGTCAGTCAGTCAGTCAGTCAGACAGACAGACAGACAGACAGACAGACAGACAGACAGACAGACAGACAGACAGTCAGTCAGTCAGTCAGTCAG